GAATGTAAAAAATAGATTAACTGCATTGTTATATTTTTGAATTAGATCATTATGTGTTTGAAATGAACTGTAAAATTAGATGAATCAGATAATGGATTATGTTACATAAGCCTATTAAAAAAACTTTTACTCATGCAAATTACTTTTACATTCTAAAATTACATAGTATCTGTATTCGCCCGATAAACATTTTCATTTATGTAATGAAAGGTATTGTAATATCGGGACTTACTGTAATAAATAGTTATGCATGTATAAATACACACACACATATATGCACACACACACACACACACACACACACACACACACACACACACACACACACACACACACACACACACACACACACACACACACACACACAACACACACACACACACTATATATATACACACATCCGATAGGTAGATAGATAGGTATAGATATAAAAACATGTGTATGTCTATATATGAATATATACGCATATATATATATATATATTATATATATATATATATATATATGTATGTATATATTTATGTGTATATACATATACATATATATATATGTATATATATATATATATATATATATATATACATATATATATATATCTATATATATACATATATATATATATACATATATATATATATATATATATATATATATACACACACACACACACACACACACACACACACACACACACACACACACACACACACATATATATATATATATATATATATATATATATATATATATATATATATATATATATATATTATATATATATACATATATATATATATATATATATATATATATATATATATATATATATATACATACATGTATATATACATGTATATATACATATACATATATATATATATATATATATATATATATATATATATATATATATATATATATATATATATATATGTATATATATGTATATATATATATATATATATATATATATATATATATATATATATATATATATATATATACATATATATATATACACACACACACCAAGAATATCATTGTGTAAAATATTCCTTTAGTATTTTTTTCGTAGGATTCCATTGAAGGCAATTATCAGTACTTCAATCTATCACAAGTTTTAGTAGAATCGGAGGAGTTAAGGTATTTTCATTAAATGAAATAACAAATAATATCTACACAAAAACACTTTCAGGAATCGGAAGGAGCAATAAAGTTCCACCTCTGTTTTTATTTTTATCTATTTATTTTTTGAATTGAACATCAAAACAAAAAACACAAAATCCATATGTGTGACCGTGTTGCACTGTTGATTACTTGTTCTAAGTCTGCACAGCATTACCTTCTACTTCCCTTCAGATCAGCTGTACAGCGGAGCCCAAAACGACCTGATCGCCGTCCGGGAGTACACCCTGCAGCTTCAGTGTTACTACAACCTGGCCCACTACCCCTTCGACACGCAGCGCTGCCCTCTGTACATCATCCTAGCCAAGTATACCTCTGATCTGTTCATCGTCCGCATCAACAAGTTTGGCTTCAGCGGCAACCAGAGGCACCACGAGTACGTCGTGCGAGACATCTTCGTGACCAACTTGACCCTGGACAACTACGCCGCCCAGCGCCTGGAGCTCGTCTTGCGCAACCAGTACATCTACTACATCAGCGCCGCCTATGTCCCCTCGTGCATGCTGCTCGTCATCTCCTACCTCACCTACTTCTTCGACGTCGAGGACTTCTCCAACCGGGTGACGGTGGCGCTGACGTCCCTCCTCGTCCTGGCCACGCTCTTCTCCGAGCTGGTGGGCGGCCTCCCCAAGACCTCGTACTTGAAGCTCATCGACGTGTGGTTCCTGGGCTGCATCGTCGCCAGCTTCCTCATGGTCATGTGCCTCGTCATCATAGACAAGAGGAAGAAAGAGGGCGTCGGGAAGAAGTTCGCAGGCCAGTGGGCGGTGACCAGTGTCGAGCCGCAAGGGAAAGTGGGGGGCGGGGCGAAGAAGGCCCGAGGTTGCAGGGGCGTGAGTAGGACTCAGCTGAACGCCGTCCTGAAGATCGCTATTCCAGTGGTGTTCGGCGCCTTCGTCATTTTGTACTGTGCTTTCGTCATGAATGCCCTTAGTGGCTAGAATTTCGGTTGCTTTCATACAAACACACGCAAATGCATACAGAAACACACACACTTACATGCGCACAACACATTTATCGATGGAAATTCACCTCCCCGCTTCACACACACACGTATAGACATAGGAGCCTTCATCATCACCAAGTAATGAACAATCTATTGTAACACGTATAACAACCACTAGAAATGAGGGATTTTAGCACATATCGACTAAATCTTTATCAGAAACACGAATTTCTAAGATATTTCTTACGAAACTCAAACAAATCTGAGCCACATCGTTTTCCAACTCGTAATTCGTAAAGTGAACTCGCACTACCAAATATCATAAACAAAGTTACCTGTAATAACAATAATATTAATATAATAATAATGGTGGTGATGATGATGATAATAATAATGATATTACAATAATAATAATAATAATAATAATAATGATAATGATGATAATAATAATGATAATGATAAAATCAACAACAACAACAACAACAATAATAATAATAATAACTATAATAAATCTTGTTGTCACACCGTTGTCAGCATCATCATGATCATCATTATCATCATCATCATTATGATAATAATAATGATACTACTACTAATACCACTAGTAGTTTCTACCACAACAACTGCTGCAACCAGCAATAGTAATGATGATAATAATGATAATTATAATCATTGCCATCATTATCATCAATTTCATCGTCGTCGCCATTGATAGTAATACTAGTGATGTCGATGATAATGATGATGATAATGAAACAAGTAATGATAACAACACCAATGGCAACAACACTAATAAAACTAATATTGATGATAATGATAATGATCATAATGATGATGTTGATAATAATCATGATACTTATAATGATTATGATATGATACTGATAATAATTATAATAGTAATTGTCATATAATGATTACGATGATAATTGTTATGATTATGATAGTGATAATAACAAGGATGATAATGATATTAATTATCACACGATAATAAAACGATGATAATAATAACGCTAATGATGATAATGAGGATGCTAACAATAAGGATAATAGTAACGAAAACAAATGATTGTACAGTGATAGAGTATCTCGGTTTGACCTTCCTTATCATTATGAAAGGTCAACCTGCTTTCTAGACTTTAGGCAACTGTCGTGCTTTGTTAGTTATGTGCCTTTGGGTGTGAAAAGCCCCCCCCCCCCTCCACACACACAAAGTATATATATTCCCACATATATACACACACAGACGCAAACGAAATTCACTTGCCTGTATGTCTAGTATTAGAGAAATGGTAAACTAATCTCAGGTCACCACAGATTAACCCCACAATAGCTTGTATAACTCTAATTGTCTACACCAGTTGTTCCCAAACTTTGGCTAGGTGGATTCCTGTCCTACCCCCCCCCCTCACCGCCCTCTCGTGCACACATGCGAACACACATTTTTTGTATGGTTCAAAATGAGAAAAAGAAGATTAAACACAAATCTGTATTTCACAAAGTTTAATTCAGTAAACCAATTTACCATCACTATAATGTTTATGACCAAATATGTCATTAACATTAAAGTAATGTGTGCCGCAATGTTTCTGACATTTTGTTATTCAAACTAAAAAATATATAGTAATTGCTCCTAATTCCACTTTCTTACCCCCCTACCTCCTCCTTTTGCCTTCCCCCTCCCCAGTATCCACTTTGGGAACCAATAATCTACCCTTCACACCCTATAGAAACTAGGTCAGTTAGCCTAACCGTGTCACACTAGCACTTTTTCCTAGTCAGCTGACGGGGGAACGTGGACACAAATGTAAACAAACAGGCGAGCAGTTAGTTACAAACGTATCTATTTTTATTAAATATCAGAGAGAATTTTGCCAATTTTGAAATATTATTTACAGTTTGGACTGTCTTTTTTAATCGTTTTATATTATAAATACTTTTGTTTAACATTACTATAACGATTATCTATTATAGCTTATCATTTGAACGAAAAAGACCACGGAAACTTGCCAGCGAATACGATAATTATCGTTTGACTGGAATTTATCGCATTCACCCAAAATGCAAGCGGTAGCGAAAAAAAAAAAAACACGGAAACGTGAAAGAACCACGGAAATTGTGCTAGTGTGACACCCCCTTTACATGGCCAAAGTACAGCCGTCGACAAAAGTCTTTCATGAAGCTTCGAATCCGTATTATGCAGGTGTTCGAAACGGAATTCGAAACAGGTTTAACAAAGTGTTTTGACCTTGCCTTGTAGCCTTGTACATGTCAGGATACCCTCACTCCACTAAGAATATAAGTGGTGTTAAAAGCCGATGTAAAACGAACCAAAGGGCAGTAACCAATCAGACTCCGAAGGGATATCTTGTGCTCTCATTTCATAACAAAAACAAACAAACAAACAAACAACAACAACAAAAACAAAAACAGTGGCCTTAATATATATATATTTTTTTCTTCTTTTTCGTTTACTGATTGGGAAATAAAGTTTGAATCGATAAATGGTTTCTTCTGGATGATGCTGCCTTGTTTATTTTTTCACTGAATGTTTTGACTAATAGCTGAGCCGTGAACCCCGCCTTCAGCAGAGGTTGACTTTTATGATAATATTAATAGTAATAATAATTATAGAACTATTAATAGAATGAAAAATACTAAACACAGCAACAAATAATAACAAAGTGGATAATGATAATAACAGCAACAACAACAATGACAACAGTAACAACAACAATAATAGCAATAAGGATAATAATGATAATGGAATCATAATAATAACAATACTAACAATAATTTGAATGGAAATAGTAATAGTAATACTAACTGTAATAATAATAGTGATAGTTAAAATAATAATAATGATTCTAGTGATAGGAGTAATAATAGCAATGATGATGACAACAATAGTAGTAACAACAACAATAATAATATCAATAATAATAATGGTGATATCATTGATACTAATAATGATATCATTAATACTATTAATAATGATAATATTAATGATAACAACAATAATAACGTTCAAAACGGTAATCACATTAATGATAATGTTGATAAAACAAATAATGATACTATGACTGATGGTAATGATAATACTAATAAATGTACTAACATCAATGATGATGATCATTAGAATAACGACAATGACAATGGCAATAATGATAATTCTTATCATTTATTGTTTTTATCATCATCATCATTGTCATATTCATTGCCATAAGTAATATCAATTGTCATCATTATCATTATTACACATGCACCTAAATATGCTCTACGAGGAAATATATTCAACATCAGTGCTTGGTCGATCGTCATATCCAAATCCGTTCCACTTACAAAAGTTTTTTTTATGGATTAAGACGACTGCGTTTCCAAGCACGTATTTCATGTAATACTATTTGCTCCAGTTTCGTGTATTTAGAGGCTGAGAGAGCGACTGTTTCGTCTTTCTCACTTTCTTCAACATTTTTTCCCTCTTATGTCGAAATTCCTTCATTTCCATTTCAAAGGTTGCATTGGTGTTTTTTGCCCTTTTTCTTTGCTTCTTTTCAATGATTATTTTGCTCCTTTTCCCCATCTCGTAAGGGTTTTAACTCTCATTAGAGATAAATTTCGCATTCAAAAGAGCCATGTAATATTTTAACCTTCGAAATCGCTTTCGCTGAGTTCTTGACCTTTTTTCCTCCCAAGTCCATAAATTAAATGTGCTTTTACAATATCCTTTATCTGATGTGTTTTAATTTTCTAATAATAATAATAATAATAATAAAATGAATCTGCCGCCGTTGCCTTTACACTCACCCTCCCTCTCATCCTTCCAGCAGTTAGAGTTTGTTTACATTCTCCCTGAGTACGGACACTTCAAGGGAACGTAAACAATGGAGGCGGAGGAAATGGAAATAATCTACTCTTCATAAGCGATATGAAACAAGGAAAGGGGATGACGCGGATGCATTAAAGTCCTTAAGAGGTCTTGGTTATGGATATTAGCGCAGAATCATGAATTTTCTGATTTGTCTTTTGAACACCCCTGTCCATTCTGTATTTTTACTTCTTATCTACCTAATTAATCGTTCTTATTGCCATATTAATTAATCGTTCAATATTGCCAGTAGACTATTAAGAGGATGATGCATGATGATAATGATGATGATATGATCATCATCATCATTATCATTCATTCCCATCATCATCATCATCATCATCATCATCATCATCATCATCATCATCAGCAGCAGCAGCAGCAGCAGCAGCAGCAGCAGCAGCAGCATCGTCATCACCTTCACTGTTAAAAAAAACATATCCATTTCCACCATTATCTTTAATAGTATCATTGTCATCATTATCATCAATTTCATCATCACCGTCATTATCAGAATCAATATTATTATTATCAGTTCTTTTCAGTATTGTTATTACCATCTATTTTATTAACATCACGAATATGATGATACTATAATGGTAATAACGATAATGAGGATGATGAAACAACTACTAATAATTGTGATAACATTGATAATACTGATAATGATAATAAGAATGATAACATTACTAATAATAATGATAGCAAAACTAGTAATAACAATGGTAGGGAAATGATGATAATGATAATAATAATAGTAGGGATAATTATTATAATGATAACAATGATAATAACAATGATTATAATAAACAAGAACAGTGATAAAGGTAATAATGATAATAATAATAATAATAATAATAATAATAATAATAATAGTAATAATAATAATGATAATGATTACTGCAATAAGGATAATAATAACAATGATAATGATCATAATGATAAATTTGATTATCAATAATGGTGATAATGATGATAAGTATGGTTATGATTACGATACTGATAATGAAAAGAATAATAATTATGATGATTATGAGGATAATTAATATGACAAAGATAATGATAATAATGATGGTAAAAATTATTATGAAAATTATAACAATAATGACGATAATAGTAATAATCATAAAAGTTATGGTGATAATAATGATATCAATGTCAATAATGATAAAATTGATTATGATGAAAACAAAGTTATTACTTCTACCACCACTACCATTAGTCACTACATCAATTAAGATAATCATATTGACAGTAAAATAATATTGATAATAATGATATTGAATGATTTGATAACAATAAATGGATCTTTTATTTTGCACAATAATAATACCTCGATTAATCATTACCGGAAGAAATAGGTCTTTCGGATTTAAGTTAAATGTTCATAAAAATAATTTAAATTTTGCATAGTTAGTAGCTCCTTATATATATTTTAAATAAATATATATTAGTTGCATCTGTTATAAATAAACGCCTGACAAATCTTTCATGCTATGATGAA